TTTATATTTTTATTGGTTTTATTGTCTCAGATTTTAATTGTAAGCCACCTTCCTCTGGAAGGAGATAGGCAGGATATAAATTTAATAAATAATAGTAATAAATAAATAATATATCTTCATAGGTGGAATACTTTATAAGTATATATAGCACTCTGTGATTGCCCATTTCAAAAATCCTTCCAGTGTTACCAAAATATGTCACAGGGCACTTTTTTGCTTACCAGTTCAAACCCAGAGATATATACAGAATAGCTAAATTTTGTTTGATGATATGTAGAATCAGAGGAAGAAAAATATATCGCTATCCCTTACAAGATATAAAGCAACGTCTCTAATTTCTTTTAAGTGCAAAACATTTAATTCTGTGTTTTTCTGGGTGTTATTTTATGTTAATTTATCTCTTTTTGATATATATGGTATATATATGTGTGTGATCTTGTGAAAATAAATTAACTAATGATTCCAAATGCTACTTAGAAATGAATGCTCTCCTATCAGAATAAGAGAAGGATGACTCAATAATTGTTGTAATATTTATTTTATGAATACACCTTAAAATCAGTTTAATTCAGGATATGCTACTTCTGAATATGTTTATATTATGTTAGAGATACTTGATTTGTACTTTTTCTTTGTAGCCGAATCCAGAGCTGGTTAAACCTAAACTTACTCCATTGCATGAGGGAGCATCAGAATTGCTAAACAAGGTGACGCTTCATTCATGTAATAATTACTTCACTCAATGTAACCAGTTGCTGATCAAACTAAAACTTTTTGCCTATTATTCAAGCTGTATTTAGAAGTTTAAGTAATCTATCGTAGTAACTTTAAACTGTTAATGATTTACTAGTTGTAAAAACAAACTCTGTATTTTTGCCAGCATACATAATTGAAAAAGAAAAATCCACAAATAATTTGGAAATACTGTACACTTTTTGATTGTATTCTTTCCAAACAAACAATGTTCAAAAAAAATTATTTAAAAGAGATCAGAACTCCGTCGATCAGCACAACAATGCTCTAAAAATTTAGCAGAATGGAACCAAATGCAGTTTTGGGGGGAGAAGCTGCAAAAGAAAGATTGCATTTGAAAGTGAGTTTGATCAGGCCAGTGACTATGAAAGAAACATTTCCCAAAAGTTCTCCCAATGGGAGAAGCAGTTGGCAGCATCTCATAACGTTGATAACTGCTCCTTTATTATTTATTAGTTCCTGGTCAGTGACCCAGAGCATATGTAGCCTGCCCCATGCTTCCCAGTACATATGCATTCATAAACATATAGACATGATATGGGGTTGAAAAGAATACCAGAAAGTTTGTTATGCATGCTTTCCCTACCTTGTTGTTAACTCATTTATTTGACAATCCTTGTTTATTCATAGGGATTCCACTATGTTTAAAGAGACTTCCTCCCAACTGTGTGTACAAAGTACAGTAGATTGTTATACTTATATATGCACTTAAGAATAAGTGTTATTGTTTTCAGTTAATTATTTTTAAGTTGGTATCTGTGGTACTGCACTAAAGTGGATTGCAGAATGTCACGTCTAGTTATTAGATGATTGATGAGAAATAATACATGTAACAAGAGTGTACCCTAAGAACACTAACCCTGACAATCTATCCATTCCAACTCACTGGAATGTTAATTAGTTTAAATAAAAACCTGTGGATTTCTGATATATCAACCTCTGCCTCATGGTATCTAGTTCAACTTTGCGTGACATGATCAACTCCTCTGAAGTCCTACATGTTAGGGAAATGTCGATCAGGATGTGTTAGTCTAAGCAGAACCAATGGCTAGTGTGTTTTTAACTTTGTTTACTTAAGAAATATGTGTCAGCAATGTAACAGAAGAAATGGTCAAATATGTAGGAAAAATTCTTGAGGCTTCAGAATGGCAACAGAAGTCAAAAAATACAGTAGCAGATGCACATACTGTAAAGCAGTTGAAATTAATCTATTCCACCCCCCAAATTACAGAAGAAACATTCACAAATACCAGTAGTTTATTATCTTTAGCTATGTACAGTTTCCTTCACCTTGTAATCCTTTGGCAGGAATATGATGAAACGGGAAACATTAACTGAAAAAAGGCATTTTGTTCTAGCCAGGTGAAATGGTCTGCATTTCCAAAATCAAGTATGTCAAAGCCTAATAATCTCACATTGGGGCTTGTGGATTTTATTTAATTTATAACTTCAATTACTTCTACAGCCACCCACTTGTACATGACTTTGGGCAGCTTAAAAGGGTTAAAAATAATCCAGAGTAATTAAAAAACAGACAATCTCTGTGTACTGGTACAGTACAGATAAGCATTACCTTTTTCAATCTGTCGTAAATTATTCTACAAAATATATCTAAGTATTTCTATAGTTTGCTTGGTTTCTTGCCTGTAGGAAATTGCAAGACTTCATGAAGAAAATGAAAAATTGAAGACCCGATTAAAGACAATAGAGCTACAGGTAAACTCCTTTGATACAGTGAGACCTTGATTTAACAGACTTCCATTTAGTGGCCTTCAGGTGCAATGGAGATTTCCATCTAAATATCTTCATGAAATAAGGAGGAAGCCTATTGCACCTATATATACTTACATTTATATTAAATTAGATTATATTTATGTAATTTGAATCAATTTACTTTATTTGCATAATGACTTCATTTCACAAATGATGCAGATTGCCACAAATGACATAATTTGTACAATATGCAAAATGACATAATGATGCAGTTCACAACAGGTGACATACTTTCATACTTAACTGTCTTCCAAAATGATCTCTTAGATTGAGGCTTTACTGTAGATGGGTGGGTGGTGTATATATGCAGAAGAAGAAAACAGTAAACCGCTTCTATAGTGGATGGATATGTCTTTTTAAAATAAGATTTGACCGGAATTTTCAAATCTATTGCAGGCCACAAACGCACTAGATGAAAAATCAAAGTTAGAAAAGGCTTTACAGGACCTACAGATTGCTCAGGGGGATCAAAAGGTAAAAATATTATTTTTTCAGACCATATCAATTAAATATAACTGTTTTGATAAGGTTATTCCGTGAAAGTTATTTTAGTTGTGTTTCAAAACCTTATGGTGAACTTAATTCATCAGGTATATAATGCTTTTCAGTAATAGGTAGTATTGTAATAATGCCAACATAGAACGAGTTGTTCCTTTCTATGACATTTTAATTTTTTTCCACTTAATTTTATAATATGATTGTTTAACATAGGACTTGTTGAAATAAATTAAGAACTTTTACAAGTTGTTCTGTACTTTATTCATTTGTTATTCCTCTGATTAATATAAATAATCAAAAAATGTCATTGTAGGATTATGCCTAGCTAACTTAGAATAACTCTTTGTTACAGTTTTCATAACCTTTATTTATATCTCCACACATCTAAGAGTAAATAACATATAGTCCACAACAGTTTGTGGCAATTTGCCAGAGCTACTTTTGTATGAACCAAATTTATCAAGATTTGGGGAGAGAATCCCATTCATGTCTCCTAGAATCAAAACATTTCCTTTTGCAATTGCAAGAAGTGATTTTAAAAAATGTAAATTTTTGTTTTACTCTCATTTGGAGCATAAATTGAAGCAACTGTAATATTCCCTTGTTCAGTTTTAAACCATAGGAATAAAAATCTCCCTGCTTCATCCTAGATCTATATTTCCAAGTTCCATGATAAATTCTTAATATTGACAGCTACTCCATTTTCTTTCTTTCCACCAGAATTTTTGACCTAAATGCGTATATTTAGCCAATTAACACTGTCTTTTTAATACATATCTCTTGAAGATACAGTGGTTCCTAAAAGTTTGTGAACCCTTTTGAATTTTCAATATTTCTGCAGAAATATGACCTAAAATATGGTCTGTTCTTCACACAAGTCCTGAAATTAGATAAAGAGAACCCAATTAAATGAGTCAAAAACATTATTTCAAGTCAACTTTTTGTTGTAACGTAAACGGTTCACTTGTGAATAGGTCTCTGATTTCTGATAAATAAATAAACGCCAGCTTTTCCACAGTTCCACTAGACTTCCTCTGTTCTTGTTGAATCTTTTTTTATTTTGCTTCCTCTTTCTCATTTTTAGAAAATAAAACACAGATTTATTCTTAAAAATACTTTTTCATTAAACAAGTTCAGAAAAGGATAATAAACTGTTAAAGGCAAGAGACTAATTGAATATAAATAAATTCATTAAATATTATATGCAGTACAATAAAAAGAAAGCAAAGGCATTATAGGCACTAACATCTCATCAACAGACCATTATATTCTGACAATTACCAATCCTGGTATATTATTCAGTTCCTTGTATTGGAGCTCCCTCTTGTGATATCAGTTAAAGAGGAAAAATCTTTCAAGGTGATCCAAACAAGCTAAAAATAGTTTCAAGTGCAATAAGATCAGTAGAATTAGAATAAATTCAACAGGTGAAATAAAGTAAGATAAATCCAGGTAGATCCACAATGAAAGTCCAAATAATTTCTCTGTTGAGCAATATTTTAAAATTATTACACTCGTGTTTATTTCATATAAGAAGTACCTCTTGTGTCACATGACAGTATTTTCATATGAATTTTTTCTAAGTTGACTGGAAATATCAACAACACTTAATTAATAACATTTTAATTTCAAACCATTGCTTGAAAATGGAAGGCCATACTCTTCTCTCAATTCCCAGCAGCCTGTTTTAACATAGAACAGAATGATGTTACCTAGGCAGGTAATGAAACGGTTGCAAACAAACAACCAAGCTCAGAGAGCACCAAGGACTCCACAGCCTGTTTTAATCCTAAATGTAGAATCATAGGGTTGGAAAGGTCCTTGGAGGTCTTCTAGTCCAACCCCCTGCCCAGTGCAGGAATCCTCATACCATTCTGGGCAAATGGTTGTCCAGTTTTACCAGTTTTAGCATTAGACATACATCCTGGTGCTTGAAGTAGATCTCTTTGAAATTTTAATTTTACACATGCTAATAAGATGGCATTGAATTTTATATCTGGGTCTAACTGAGCTCCCTAAAGAGTTGGGTCAATGCTTTGACTATGAATAATTTAAAGGCTGCCATGACAATCTTGCTTTCTTTCCTAGAAGAATCTTCAGATTGCTGTGTAGGCCCCATTTAATGCCGTTTGGTCAGCCAGCCTGTCAGCTGTGGAGTTCTGAAGATGTTCCCGCAGGTTTAGTCTAGAAATAGAATCAAATGCAGACTTGAAACCAATAAAACCTTCATGGGTTGCATATTAGACCATCTATTTAGCAATATTAATAGCATTTATCAAAATAAATTTTCATCCTGTGAATTAGGAACATGCAACTCACTATATCCATGAGTTCCATATTACTTTATTTTTAAAAAGTAAATTAGCTTAATGCTATTTGTGAACTCAGTTTAATTATTTCACCACTTTACTCTTAATACTGTCAATTTTAAATTTTCCTTTAATATTATTTTATAAATGTCAACAAAAATTATCCCATTGATTCCACTGAATCTTCATGACCAGGTTTTCTGGATAGGAAATTCCTATGAAATTCTGTATAATAATATCAGTATTCTAAAGGAGGAATACATTGCATGTATTTTTACATCTAAGAACTACAGTTTTTTAGAAGGGGCATGTAAGTGTACATAGGTATATAGGTATATGTGGATGTAACTATACATTATTGTTAAATAAATATGTACAGTGAGATGGGCGGTGACAAATTTGAAATATAAATTAATTAAATAAATGGCTAGATGATTTTCTCAGTAAGATCATATATCTCTTTTTTTTCAAGTTTAACACTACTCAGGATATTAGTGAACTAGAAAATACTGTGGCTGATTTGAAGTGTCAGTTTGAAAAGACTTTGCAAGATAGTACCGCAAGCCAAAAATCCTTGGAAGAGAATCTGGCATCAACAAAACATGACCTACTTAAGGTTCAAGACCAATTGGCTCTGGCTGAAAAGGTTAGTTTTCCCAGCTATAGTTGTGGCCACCTTTGCCTTTTTTCACTTCCCTGAACTTTTTCTGATAATAAGAATTAAATTAAACAGTAGTTAGGTCCCATGCTCTTGAAAGGAGTGATTTTAATCCCATGTTGATTTTAATAATGAAGAGGTAGGTTCAACATGTTATAAATATAAATAGTTAAATAGTTCATGGGTTTGATTTGTCTTTTAACATGAGGTACTTTGCCCAATTATTCCTTAAACTATCTTGCTATACAAATAGAATGTCACGCTTGCTTATTTTTCATGCATTTATAATTAGATATTAGCATTGTGAATGTTTTAATGCTAGTTTAATACAAATGTAGTATCATTAAAATAATACTTTAATGATTCAAAATGCATAGGAATTAGAAAAGAAGTTTCAACAAACCGCTGCCTATCGCAATATGAAAGAGATTCTCTCCAAGAAGAATGAGCAGATAAAAGAGCTACGAAAGAAGCTTTCAAAGTAAGTGGTAGTCCTCCATTTGTCCCTTTTGTGTGTTTTTTCTATTAATGATATTTAGTTTGACAAAATCATGACAAATTTATTTAATTTCAATTCAATTCAATTAATTTAATTTAATTTGTTTTTAAGGATTGTTGTGAGCTACCTAGAATCATTATATGAGATAGGTGCCTATTTATGTCTTGTCAATAAATTAAATAAATAATAAATACATATGCTCCCAAGCTGTGGGCCTGTTCTTTCAGGGGGAATGTGACTCATCCAAAACACGCTAGTTATTTATTTCAAAGAATGGACTAATTTCACTATTGTAATGTAATATTACATCTGAGTATTTTTCTGTTTTGTGTTCATAGATATGAGCCAGATGATTAAGATCTGAAGAGCCTGTTTTGTTTCAAGGAACTGCCACAAAATGAAAATACAGGAGATTTTGGGAAAGGATCTATTTTTCAATAAGTTTCAGTGTATGTTTTCCAAGCAGCTTATTTCCTTTTTTAAACATTACTGTATTCTTAGAAAGCCATAAGTGAGCGTTCAGAATAAAGAAAAAGACATATTTGTGGTTTAGGCCCAATTTAAATGTTTAGTTCATGTATTGCCTAAGAACTACAAATACAGAGCATTTACCTATTTCTTTGTATAGTAAAAAAGTTTATTATGAACAGTAGTTTAAAATGTTAATTATAGTTCTGTACATACTGTTCTGGAATCAAAGTGCGGGAACCAAAACAGGCAAAATAATCAAAGCTCCCTGCAGTGTTTATTTAGACAGTATGCACTGGAGGGGAGCCCACCAGAGGTTAGTGAGAGACATCCCTGCAAACAAAAGAGATGCACTGACATTTATACATTTCAGAAAAGGGGAAGGGAAAAGTGATGCAGGCATACATATGTAATAGGTCTCGAGTTACGTCCTGCCCTCTGCTGTCAGTTTCAAAGAGACCTACTGGACAGATTCATGAGTTGCCATGGGGTGCTCTGATAAAATTGGTGTAAGCCAGCTCCAAGGCTATTGCAGATTCCTTATGCTGCAATTGAACTTATATATTCCCATTCATCTGAAAACTTTTTTCCCTCACAGTTCTCCGCCCTTTTGACCTCCAGAAGATCAAAATACATGTCTGACAGGGAAACTGAATTCAGCCTTGCACTCCCCTGGAGACAATTGCTGAACAGTCCCGCTAAACATTGCCCAGTGCAAAGTAGTAGGACTATTGCAGCCTGGAGAGCTAGGTATCCTAGGGCCAAATTTTGCAACCAATCTGTGCCAGGTCACCAAGAGGTAAACCAAGTCCATAAAGTACTGGGGCTTGTTCTGAACTCACTTTGCCAGATCCCTTAAATCTTGCACAGTGGTTTTTATTCATAGGGAATTGTCAGTGAGGTTAAAACAGCACATTCCTGGAAATTCTTCACATTTTAAACAACATAAAGTCAATGGCAGGTCTGTTTTACAAACTGTTCCTGCTTCTCATTGAGGAGAGTTGTAACATTTGAAGTTTTGTTTATAGTTTTTGTAACTAAGCAAGCTAGTTTTTTTGATATTGAGATAGGCTCTGGTTGCTAAAACTGGTGTGCCAGTTATGGAGATAGCAAGCCCATAAACATCTCTGGTATTTAACAGCCCAATGTGATCATCACAGTCACCATCAAGTGGTGGGCCCTCAATAAGGTATTGGTGCACTTGCCTGGGTTTGTGATGAGTGTAATTCTGGACAACTGGTACTGCATGAAATGAGTTAAACACCCAATTGCACAGGGGCCTCTCAAGGAATTGCTGGAAAGTATGAAAAGGCATGGTTTCCACACAACAGATACCATCCCTTGGGCAAGTAGTAGTGAATTTGTGCATAGCCCAGCTCTATTACTTCTGTGCAATTTTTCAGTGCTGATAAGAAAAGCATGTCTTTTTGTCATAACAGCCAAACACTCACACAGTTTTGCCCTGGCACATGCCTTTGGTTTCTACCCTGTATAATGCTTGGTTGGTCCACTGGTGTTAGTGGCCATAGACTCAACATATAGAAGGATTTGCCCTAGGTGATCAAGGATATATGGCTTAAATATTGGGGTCAGCTTAGTAACAGTACAAGTATCTCCAAAAATTGCTGTGGTACTCCTATAAAGCATATTTTGAACACAGAATCCCAATTTGTTCCCCTGATAGCACAGAACGGTTCCCCAGGTGGGATGATGGAATGGACTACGATTAAATAAGAGTTATTTGTAGGTAGCCAGTCCTGTGACTGTTGCATCCTACATCTTAGCAATTGCAAATAAACCGCACTGAGCAATATAAACACAATTTTTAGCAGAGCCATTGCTTTGCTGTGAGGCAGAAAGTAAGGAAAAAGAAACAACGGCACAATAAAGCAAGCTAAATATGATAACTGCAGGAGCCGTTAAACTATTAAGAGTCCATTAAAACTTATCTTCAGAGTTCTTCAGGATTTCATAGTCAGAACTTCACTTGTCTTGTTCTTCCTTCTGCCTGTCTGTTCTTCCT